GATTATTAGTAGTTGGATATAGATACATCATAAGAATTATATCCATGTGTAGGTCTTGCGCATTTATCTAAAATAAAAATATTAGATAATATACCAGTTTGATGATGAATAATATAAAATATTTATACATATATAAAAATAATTAAATATTATGATTGCAAGTACATAGGAATAGTTTTAATAATATTATGATACTCTCTAAAATCAAAAAGTCATCAAATCAATACAAATATATTGAAAGTATTCAACATTTTAATCCATTTTTGTTTCTATTTATGTGAATTAAAAATTATTATATGAATTTAGAATATAAAAGGAGATATTAGATTATATTTATTTTTTATAAAAAGAGATATTGAGGTTTGTTTTTTGGCATGGATAGCTTTATTGTGATAAATAAATCAAACCTTAAACTTCTCAATAATATTGTCTACAAGTTTATTATTATTTACTCATGATCTAAGAAAACCTTAAGCTATTTTCTAATCTAATGTGTGAGAATCCTAGCTACAAATTAGGTTATTTTTGATTACTTATATTCGAGTTGAAAGAACAGTTTCGATTACATGAATAAATATTATTGTTTCGAGAATTTCACTAATAGAGAATAATCCTAGAGTTTCAATAAGCTATCAAATATTCTTTATATACCAATAATTTGATTATATATATAAGAAGACGTCATTATAACATAAGACTTACAATTTTGAGTAGAGGTTTAGAGAGAAATAATTAGATATAAAACAATCATTGATACTAATATCATTATATATATAATCTTAGCTTTAATATGAGTAAGAGATATTTAATAAATTGAATTCCTTGCAAATATTTTGAAGACTGTTTAATTTTCAAAATATTTCTTAATTTTATATTTGTTAACAAAAGTAACTCTAAGTATCTTTTATTAAAACCCCTTTAGGCTAAAAATCATTTTCAAATTTCTTAATTCATATTTTAATGATATTTTCTTTAATGTTGATCTAATTTACAAACCTTTGTAAAATTTATTTTCGATTAAATAAAAAAATTCAAGAAACTTATTTTTTTTGTAGAATACATTTATTAAGGTGATACAATATATAAGACTGATATATTAATTTTTTAATATTAATCTAATTAGTCAATGTAAATTCATAACCTTTTAAATCGTAATTTATTAACTCAACTTTTTAATATAGGAAAATTTTCAAAATAAATAGTGCTTCATAGTTTCAAATACTAATTAATTAAACTTTACAGCTTCAATTTGGCATAGTAGAATGGAAAGATTTATCTAATTATTTAGAAAGTAATTCAAAATAGGAAATGTTTGTAACTTTAAATTTTCTTCTGGCTATATAGATTTTTATTTAAGGATTATTACTTTCAGATATCCTCTATTCCTCCTTTATGTAATAGACGAATCGAGAAGCTTCAATAACATACTTAGAGCTAGAACGAAACTAAAACTAAGAAAGTCCAATTTAAAATCCCTGAAGATGATTTATCTGCTGAGGCTTTTTTCTAATGGAAAAATTTAGTACTGTTCATTGGGGATTGGAATACAATAAACCATAATCTATTGAAAAGAGGAAGGAAATTTTTTCATTTGGTGCATGCTACTAAATAATTAAAGAAGGTAAATAAAAATTGATGATATATCCTGAGCTTAAGGATACCTGTTATTGATAAATAATGAAATGAAAAATAAATAATCTACAGTACAATTAAAAAGAAAATTTATAAAAAGATCAGACCTAATAACCTAAAATTCCTTTGTAAAGCAAATCGACTTTGTGAATATATTTTAGACGGATGGAGAGTAATAAAAAAACATATATACAACTTCTACATTTTATTATTATGATTTGGAATAATAGCCCTATAGCAAAGTTTACTAGTTATTCAACAAATTTGAAAGGCAAATATTAATTTAATCGTTTAGATTCTTTTAAAATTAGTTTTACATAGG